AAAACAATATTTTTATAATAAATAAATATTTTATTGAATTATATATTGACCATTTTGGTCAAATACCTGTTGCCATCATTTCTGGTAGTAGCATGATTCCACATTCATAAAAGTTTTGATCTTTGCTTACAAAAAAACTGATCAAAGTGATTTTTGACATTTTCATTTTAAGTAAATGTCTTTCAGTTTAAAAAATTTTGTATAAACCAGAACAAGTAATAATCTGAGGGTGCCTGATCTGGTGAATATGGTTGGTATGATAGCACATCCCATCTAAGTTGTAACAGTTTCTGATGAGTTACCAAACTGTGTGAAATGAATAATCTGTTACTATTCGGTATTCGGCCTATTTTTTTAGGTCATTCAGTTAATTAATTATTATTAATTAACTGAATGACCTAAAAACTTTAAAAAAATAAACAACTGTACCAGAAAACTGGAACTGTACATGTAAATAAGAAATTACACCTCAATGCAAAATTTCCAGCAAAGAAATTCAATATTCTAACAAGGGCCAATGAAATAGTGGTCGAAAACGTTAGAATATTGAATTTCTTTGCTGGTAATTTTGCATTGAGATGTAATTTCTTATTTAAACTTTAAAAATTTTAAACGCATAGAACAGGATATTCAAATAATTAGAACATATGGAAACTCAGTAGAACTATAATTTTTGTTATTTCACCTGATGAGTGCCTTCAAACAAAGCCAAAAATGGCTGTGATTGAATATTCAATGGGCTGGAAGTTGTGTTGCAAGTGTAAATTAAATATAAAGTTTCAGTTTCTGGGATGTTTTGCTAAGCCTAGAGGATTATTATTTGGTGTTCTTCAATCGACCAGACACCTGTTTCCTGTTAGTGGATTTCTGTTCTGGAGTTCTACCTCACCTTGAATTTGATAGACAAAGACAAAGAGGACTTATTGACCTGAAGGACTTTATCTCAACTCAAAACCCAAGACTAAACATACATGTATTGTAAGCCTCTCCCTTTAATAAATGGTCTTCCAGTGTAACAGCCTCTGTGTCTGTAACACACCCACCCACATGTGGCACCCAACCCTATTTCATCATTCTGTATGGCTAGAATATTGTTCCTTGTAAAGAGTTTTGGTCATCTCTCAGAAGTTTGATATAGGGGCTGTGACCATTATCACATTGATCTCATACTATTTTAACTCATATAATTAGCACAAAGCATCAACTCTGTTTTATAACTGATCAGTATTACTGCACATGGTACACATTTATTGTTTTCTGACAGATAGTGGTGTCAGGCTAGGCAATAAAATACCAATTGAGCTGTTGATTCTCTAAATTGTATATTAAAATTTTTATGCTATATAACTACCAACACCATTGATTCAATATTATTTTTACAAAAAAAATTCTATGGTTTACTTTAGTACCCACAAGGTTGGTGTCCATAGCACATACCCAACTTTCTCCACCTTAATTACACTGCTGACACAAAGAAATGGCATTTTTAAATTTAAAAATGATAAAAGTATCCCTGTTCTATAGTCTTGATTGCTTCTTGTTCTCTCTTTTGTTCTTTGGAGTTAAGCACAAAATTGCTATGAAGAACTGGAAAAAATAGATATTAGAGCAGGGCAAAATAGAAAATAAACTGGTACTTTCTTGATAAGATTTAGGTAGATGGTTTAGATTCTATTAATAATATGTAGGTATTTAAATTGCTTTTATAAATAAATAAGTGAATACATTTACATCTGTAAGAAATAGTGCATTTAAATAATTTATTTGTTTTATTTATTATAAGTGAGGTTTATAATAATTGATTCTAATTTATATTGCATGTGTAATGTAATATGAATTATGCACTATAAATATGAACACCTTATTGCCATCCATTATAAGGTAAAACTTCACTGCATAATGCTGATTTTTTTCATAAAGTATCTGTTTTATACAGACTATGAATAAAAATTTTTTTCAGTTTGATCGATCTTTAAAAATTTACTCACACCATCATTGAGTAAATTTCTGATTGTGCCATCTGGTTTCCGGATTTGTGGCCCATCAGAAATAACACCTTATGATGCATTTATCTTATACCAAGTTTATTTTACAACTATTTACTTATATACAGCAATACAGTAAGACCCTGCTTAGTGCTGCTTTGTGTAACACTGATTCGATATAACGTGGTCTGCTCTAAGCCTAAAAAAAGCTCAAAATTTATGCTGATTTAAATTATTGCGGCATTTTATTGATTCGTATATAATATGATTATTTGTGAACACAAACCAATCAGCAGTAGGTGGCAAAAAGGTGTACTTTCTTTAAATCTATGTTTGTTTGGTACAATTTTGGAAAAAATATAACATCATAGATGCCATAGGAAATATCAACTTCACTTTACAAGAATTAACTGATACATGCACAAATGAAGTCAGGAAGAAGTTATGGCTGAAGGTATTCGAGAATTCTCAACGAGAAGACCCTATCGCTGTATCATTAGGTTGACCAAACTCAACCTAATCAATACATCAGGACTAGGAGATAGATGAGCAGGATATTGAGGAGTTACCATAGGTTTCTGGTGAGATCCTTCCAACAACGGACTTCAAGAAATGATAGAACATGGAATTCATATGAAACTGGAAAATAGATTCTGAAAACAAAGAACCCAAAAAATTTCTCTACAGATTTCCTTAGTAAAAGTTTTGTAACGATAACCAAAATCGTCAATCAAATTGTAGCAAATGATCTAGATTTTGAAGGAATGTGAGAGCAAGATGAGGCATTTTGGATGTGAACTTTTGCTACTGACATTTGCTTAAGGAAAGAAAAAAGTAACAAATGAAACTTCACAACTTTATTGCAAAAGAACAAGAATTTCAGAAAAGTTAGGACCTTCATTACAAAAAATGAATTTTACATTTCTGTGTGCATATGTTTGTGTTATTTAACATATATTATTATACAAATTAATATAAAAATAACTTAAAATTAAAGTAAAATTTGTTTATAGGTCACATGTTCCCCTATCTCTATTTACTCTATATTAAAATGACCTCATTTAATTCTGTTTCACTTAGAGCTTTGTTGTCTAGGAATGCATCCCCCATGTTAAGCAGGTTTTACTGTATCTCTGGATGGCTACCAACAACATAGTCTAAAGCCTTGCCTTTTCTCTCTTCTGTTTGATTGGTCAAATTTTTTTTATCCAACTTCGAGATTTGTTGGCCATAGAATCTGGAGCTGGGTCAGTAGCTTTTCTTTGGGTTTTCCTCGGTTGGAACACTTGTCTCAACTTGTTCAGGATGACTCACATTAACTGACCTCCTCTGGAAAATGGGTCTCGACAAGTGGAAACCTGAATCACTTTGTCTCTACTTCTTAGGTCGCCTTTACAGTGTGAAATTGTCATTAGCATTATAATAAATAAAACTAATATTAATACTATTTATAATTACTAATATTAAAGTAATTATTAGTGTTGCAACGAATAGTATATTCGGCATCAGGCTGAATACCAAATTATTCAGCTTGATTAACGCACGTACAAAAATTGGCACGAGAACCGCATTATGGCAAGGACCCTGCTCTCCATTGTCCCACTGTCACTACACTTCGCCAATCGCGTTAATTTTTGACAGTTGTAGCGGACAGACAAGAGCGTCATGGCAGTATGTGATAAATGATGATATCAAATGTGAATAACAATGAAATGACCTACACGTGTAAATAACAGAAAAAGAACAGAGAAAGACTGCAAAGTGAAAATATGAAAATAAATATGAAATTGAGTTGCTAACATTATCGAACAAGTCGAAGTAGCTTCTTGGCACAAAATTTGCAGCCGTCAATGCCAAACTATTGTTGTCATAGACTTTGGAAAGCTAAATGCTTGTAATGAAAGTCACTTAGCATGCACGGATGAAAGCCTGGGACAGTTCGGGCTATCAAGCTGTCTCAAATCTGTGAAATCATAACTGTGACATATATCGACGTCCTATCTGTCTTTTTTCTCCGTTATCACCAGGCTCTGAGTCACGTAATTATAAAATGGAAAAACTACGATGGAAAGTGACAAATCGAAAGTATCGTGAGTGCATATTATGATGTATGCATAGGCATACGTGGACTAGAGCGATAGAGGAAAGAGAAAGGAAAGAGCAAAGACGAGCGCTTAAAAAGGATAGGCAGAGTCAGACCTTGCCTATCTTTTTTAAGCGCTTTTGATTCTTGAACGAATAGGTGTGTACTTGTGCTAATATTTAGACGATTCTCGAACGAATAGGTGTGTACGTGTGCTAATATTTGTAATTATAAATTGTAAATACATGTGACTAATATTATTTTCTTTTCTATTTTGTGCATGTTATAAGTTATAAATAAATATAAACGAACAACACTAACCCAATAACATTAAATCTAAATACCAAAATGATTAATTTACTGTGTTTTTGTTATTTCTTACTCCTGTTTTTAGGTATTTGGCCGAATAGTGATTAAATATTCGGTATTCGGCCGAATACCAAATAGTAACTGAATAGTTATTACATCACTAGTAATTATGTATAATTAAATATTTCTTGGAAAATTACAAAACTAAGCAATAAATAGTAAATATAAATAAAAAACAAAACCTTTAAGGTTTTGTTTTTATTTATATTGATTTTAATTCCAGTAAGAAAGTATTTTATTTATAAATAGTAAAATATTAATTACACAAAAAAATAACTTTTATTCCCTTTACCAAAAATTTCATTCTCTAAATGTGTGTTGCAAAATTTAGAGGATGAAATTGTTAATGAAGGTTGTGATGCAAAACCACGACAGCTATCAGTAAGAGTTAAAATTTCATCATTTTTCTGTATAATGCATTATTATTGACACTTAAAATTATTGATTTGAAAAAATTATTATTATAGACAATTTATAATTTTATACAAAATAGCAGATTAAAATTTTATATTACATTATAATATTTAATATATATATTTTCCATTTTTTATTTTTGTTTTATTAGGATTACATGTTGCCACCTTCCCTTCCAATGCAAGTGGTTGTACATAGGTACTGAACGTGGCAATGTTCATGTTGTCAATACAGAATCTTTTGTCTTGTCTGGATATGTTATCAATTGGAATAAAGCTATTGAAATGTAAGTGTTATGATTCGTATTGTTAAAGTTTATACAAGGTCTGTTCAAAAAGTATCGGACCTTTTTTTTTCCGCGTAAACCAATGATGCGCGAGAGGCCTTTTTCGGTGGAGTTGTGGAGGGGACAGTCATGCACAGCCCTGAATTTTTTCCCGCCTGCAGGAAGCGTCAGTCGTTGGCAATCGGCCTATGAGTGAGGTCATGTAGTGCGCTCTCGTCGGATTCCACTAAGCTGGAAAATGACTGAACAACGTGAGCAGCGATATTACATCAAATTTTGCCAAAAACCTTGGCGATACCCGAGCGTAAACCATTCGCAAGATTCAGCAGGCTTTCGGGGACGATCCTCGAGGCCAAAAAAAGCGCGGCAGGTCCGCAGCAATATCAAAGGTCATATTGACAGTTTTTTCGACTCTCGTGGGGTGGTGTGTCGTGAGTACACACCACGAGGCCAAACCATCGCAAAGGAGTACTACCAGGAGGTCCTTCGTCATCTTTGTGATGCTGTGCGATGCAAACGACCGGATCTGTGGTCGATCAAAACTTGGCAGCTCCATCGTGATAACGCATCTGCCCATTCTGAGCATCTGATTTGGGCTTTTGTCGCCAAACACAACACTCCTGTGGTTCGTCACCCTCCGTACTCTCCCCACATGGTTCCGTGTGACTTTTGGCTATTTGCCAAGCTGAAAATGCCGCTAAAAGGAACCCGAATTTAGTTGAGAGAAGACATCGTGCGAAATTCGACGGACCAGCTGATGGCCATTCCAAAAGATGCGTTCCAGCAGTGTTTCCAGCAATGGCAGGAACGCTGGGAGAAGTGTATACATTACCAAGGAAACTACTTTGAAGGGGATTAGGATTTTGTACATCAAAATCAATAAATGTATTTTTGCCGACCAAAGGTCCGATACTTTTTGAACACACCTTGTATGTATTTTCTTGTGTTTTTAACTAAAAATTATCTTTTGTTGATACTGTTTTTTCTGCAAACATACAAATCAAATAAGAATATTGGATAGATGTTGCAACAGAAAAATATTAAATATATTTATTGTGTGTGTGTGTCTGTGATAAAACTCTCATTAATGGCACAGCATGTAAGATGGCTGCAAAGTAATATTTATAAAATTTGTGTTTTCCAGCAACATTACAGGCAAAAGTTAATAATCTAGTGATTCATAATTTATAAAATTGTAGTAATGTAATGTTCAACAATCATAAAATGATTAGAAATAAGGAATGGAATTTGTGGCTGTTAGGCTTAAAAATAGAGACTGTACAGTGTAATGTACATTCAGATTCATAAGTTCTGTTTGATAAAGATTTGGTGGAATGTTTAATTTTTAATTGCATAATGCTGTCTGATGGCCACAATTAATATGATGGTTACACTAGTTAAACAGAAGTTTGTAAGATCTGCATGCATTTACAAGCTGGCTTCAACTGATAACATAATTACCCAGAAATGAAAAGAAAGAACAGGAAAAAAATATACTGGAAGAGAGGAAAAGAAAAGGAGAGAAGATGGTACAGGAGAAGATTAGAAAGGAGAAAACAGGTGGTGTTTCATAAGAGTAAGAGAATGGATCAGAGAAATGAAAAGTGGCAAAGAAAGAAATTAGTAAGCAGAGTAATGCAACACCAAAATACCAGAGAAATCAAAAATCTTTTACTTAAACATTTTTATCTATATACAATGGATATTATCAGATTCAATTAAAAGAATATAGAAATAGATGAAAATATTTGTTTAAATATTTTTTGATTTTGCTGGTTTTTTTGGTATGCTGCATAACTCTTCTTATAGTTCTTATCAGTATCTTTGCAAAAGAAACCAATGCAGCATCTAGGGCTACCTATTGCTGACATGGAAATAACTTGCCCTTTATGTGAATACAATAAATGGATACAATGCCATGTTTGTGAAGTTTGGGTGCATAAACTCTGTTCTGCAAATTATGGCCAGAAAACTGCCTACCAATATTTTTACAACTAATGCTGTAACAGACTTTCTTCTTTATTGTAGCTCAGAACTCTAATGTTTTTTTTTTTTAAATTTGTTTGCTTTAAATAATTTTAGCTGTAAGTTATGCTGAAAGTTTTATGATAAATGATAATGCTACTTAATGTAAAATGTTAAAATGTGGCCACCATTGAGTACCAGGGTTTCCATCATGAAGTTAGTCCTCTATAATGGCCACTTTTTTTGGTAAATTATAAATAACTTCACAACAACTTAATTAAGTTGTCACTTTGCAGAAAGATAGCTTCAAATTCCGTATAAACTGTGTAAATGAAAATGATTCATTTGTAAAATACTTGTTGAACAGTATCTCAAAAAATGAACATATAGAGTCCTCTTTGGACGTTCTATCTTATACACATTAAATAATATGCTGTTTTGTGGAGGATTTATTTTAGACAGGTTTGAATCTACGTGTACATGGTGTGTTTGTGTGTTTATACACATACGAGGTCTGTTCAAAAAGTATTGGACTTTTATTTTTTCCGCGTAAACCAATGATGCGCAGGACGCCTCTTTTGGTGGAGTTGTGGAAGGGACAGTCATGCACAGCCCTGAATTTTTTCCCACCTGCAGGAAGCGTCAGTCGCTCGCAGTCGGCCTATGAGTGAGAACATGTAGTGAGCTCTCGTTGGATTCCACTAAATTGGAAAATGACTGAACAACGCGAGCAGCGATATTGCATCAAATTTTGCCAAAAACCTTTGCGATACCCAAGCTAAAGCATTCGCAAGATTCAGCAGGCTTTCGGGGACGATCCTCGAGGCCAAAATAAGTGCGGCAGGTCCGCAGAAATATCAAGGTCATGTTGACAGTTTTTTCGACTCTCGTGGGGTGGTGTATTGTGAGTACGCACCACAAGGTCAAACCATCGCAAAGGAGTACTACCAGGAGGTCCTTCGTCATCTTTCCGATGCTGTGCGATGCAAACGACCGGATCTGTGGTCGATCAAAACTTGGCAGCTCCATTGTGATAACGCATCTGCCCATTCTGAGCATCTGATTTGGGCTTTTGTCGCCAAACACAACACTCCTGTGGTTCGTCACCCTCCGTACTCTCCCCACATGGTTCCGTGTGACTTTTGGCTATTTGCCAAGCTGAAAATGCCGCTAAAAGGAACCCGATTTTAGTCGAGTGAAGACATCGTGCAGAATGCGATGGACTGGCTGATGGCCATTTCAAAAGATATGTTTCAGCAGTGTTTCCAGCAATGGCAGGAATGCTGGGAGAAGTGTATACACTACCAAGGAGATTACTTTGAAAGGGATTAGGGTTTTGTACCTCAAAATCAATAAATGTATTTTTGCCAACCAAAGGTCTGATACTATTTGAACAGCCCTCGTATATACATAAACATACATATACTTACATTAAAATGGAATATTTTTTGTTTAATAGCAGCTAAGTTATAAATCATAATTAATGCTATAACTTGAAGGATTTGCTCAACTTTATGACTGGACTTAGCTTATTTTTACTTTGTTATGATTATATTTTGTCTGTGCAATGCAATGCAAAACTATTTCTGCCCAGTTTTGTAGACTAGATAGTTGTTTCCTAGCAGTTACAAATATTTTTAATAACAATTTTTTTTAACCAAAATTAGTGCATGTGTCAAGTCTAAGAAATGGTGTTATAAAATAAATTTACAGTAGAGCGTCGTTTATCCGAAAGTCGGGTATCCGAAATGTTGGTTATCCGAAAGAATTCCAGTTGGCAAATTTAAATTTTCGCTAGTGCTGTGGCACTGCAATCTTTGGCTATGTCTTGGGCTACTCCAATATTTTTTATGTTTGTGTATATGTTTTAGCTGGCAGCACTGACACTTTTGTGGGGTGTTTTTCTGAACACTGTGTGTCGTGCTGAATCGAACGTTTTTGATACTAGATTAACATCTAAAGTATTTTTGTTTTATATTTTCAATAGATTTATTTTGTTTGTAAAAAATAAAGAAATAATTTTTAACAATACAATAGCCACGATTATTGTTTTAAAAAGTTCACGTTAGGCTTAACATCGACGAAAATTCAACGCAAAGCGACACGCAACGGAGAAAAATTTCAACATGGGATAGGTTAATATATTTTTTTGTACATAATCAGTTATCCGAAAAATAAGTTATTCAAACAACCCCACTCCCCAATTGATTCGGATAAACGACGCTCTACTCTAATTTGATATACAGTTATCTCTTGTACAACATGATACTTCTACAACATGATTGGAAATTTGGGAGATATTCCCCATACAACGTTGCTTCCAGTTTTGCTCTAACATGGTTTAAGAATTCAAAAACTCATTCATACAAAATTTCACAATTTTAAGTGCAGACTTCATTATTTGATATTTTGTAATTCAAGTAATCATACATCTCATCTCAAATTTTCCCAGGATTTTACAATATTGAAATTTTTAATTTTTGTACCTTTTGTTTACTTTAATGAAAACTGATAGTAGAATTTTTTTATTCCTTGTACTAGCTTTCATATCAACCAGGTATTGTTGACATTGCTTTCACACATTAACATTTAAGATTGTCACTGTGTTTTGATTTTATAGATTAATCTTCGTATTTAGTAAAGTTTATTTAAACATTTTTGGGCAAGTGTTATTAAATGTTTATAACTATAAATAAGTGATCATTTGTAAAAATGAAGAATGAAATACAGAGGTATCTCTGTACTCAAACTGTTCCCACTCGGACAATTTGGTGTTTAAATGCAAATTCTGGAGGAAAATCACTTGGTACTTGACTGAATAAGCGATGGCCCCCTAGAACAAATTTTTAATTGATAACGTATAATCTATAAAAATTATTTATGATAAAAATGAGCAATTATTTATTGTGACACTGTCACAATGCTAGATTGCAATTTTAATTATATTTAAAATATATGCTTTACACATCAAATTAGTACTGTCTTGCTCCTGTACTTCATACTTTCCCTGCTAGTAACAGTTTCATGCCATCATCTATCTAACTTCTTATAGGAGAAAATTTTTGAATTGAAATTATGGAAAGAGAAAAAGACAACAGTGGGAATTTATAGGTCTATAACTTTTTCAAATTGCAGCCCAATAAGAGAAATGAAGACATTGCTGATATTTCTGACTAAGATAAAAAAAAATGCTCAGGTGGTGGTGATATTTTATAAAATGAAAATGCCCTTTAACTAAAATTAATATTAATGTGTAATACAGTACTTATAATTGTGATTTTTAGTTAATTATTGATTGCTTTAATATTGATTTTAATAATATTAATTTTTAGTTAATTATTGATTGCTTTAGTGACAGTAATAGAAAATAATAGTATACTTTTGTTAACTTTTGGAACCTAACCCTATGTTTTGCATTAGTCCTTTGTTTCATATTGGACAGATTTGTATAACATAGTACTTTTTCAGAATATAACTATCGTGTTATACGAGGGATACTTATATTCTCATTTTTTTATAAATAAGTTACAAAATAATTATGAAACATTTTATGGCAAAATATTTACATTCTCTCTCTACATTCAGTAACAAGAGAAGCAAACAATGTTATCTAGTTTTATGTTAGTCTAATTTGATGATAGTTAATTAAGGGCTGACTAATAAGCAGTAAATTGTCAGAACTAGGCAATTAAAACATATTCTATTGGTATTGACTATGAAAAGGAACTAAAAGATAATAAAATTATATATACATTATTCTTATTTTTCTGTTGAATATTATTTGAATATTTAATTTACATATTTTAATTTTTTATTTTATTTTACAAGTTATATAAAATTTATAAAACATGTTATTAATTTGTTTATAGATCACGAAAATCTCATCCTGGTGCTATTGTACATCTAAGTGATAATCCATTGGATCCTAATAAGGTATTGTGGAAACTTTACATTAAATATCTATCTCTTACTTTATTTTCTAAATAAATATTTAGCTTTGAAATAAAATATTGATTAATAGTATATATTGAATGACACGGAAATCATAACAAAGTTTCCAAGATTTTGTAACTCATTTGCAACTTTAATAGTAAAATTTCATTCCATTTTGCAAATTACAACTGATTATCAAAATAAAAAAATTAGAGAACGAAACATTTAGAATTCAGATTGGTTTTTATAAAAAAATCAATAATGTGATACAGAGAATTTTTAAGTTATCAAAAATTGTTTGTAATAAATGATTATAAGAAATGATCTAAATAATACTTCTTAAGAGATTTTTTAAAAATAAATATTATAATATGAAGTTAATTACTTTGCTAATCTAGGAATAAATGGATTATTGGTTTTAACAAAACTAGTTTTATGAATTTTGTTATTTTTGCTTGAAATTTTTGAACTTAAAATTATTTTTATAGTTCAAATGTGTGGTTCTTAAAATTTTTGATTGATATTTTCTGAAATTATGTTGTCTCTGCTTTAATAAATAGTTAATAATAGTTAATAAATAAATATGAAGAAATTCATGTTTATTAAAAGTCTGTATAACTTTAAATCAACACGTCATTTACTTAAAAGAAACTCTTTTTTTGGTAAATTTATAATGTATTTGTATTCTTACAGATAATGTAGTTAAAAGATTGAGTTAAGTTAAAAACAGAAATTTTAATAAAACTTATTACATATGTAACAAGAAAAGCTATTTTTATTTGCTATTTATTTTCCTGCTTGGAAATATAGTAATTTCATTTTATACTTTAAAAATATTTGTATTGTATTTCTGAAAATGTAAGGAGAAATAAAATTCAAAATAGTATTAAATTTTTATACAAGATGAAATACAGTAGAACCTCCATTATCCGGACCTCCATTATCCGGATTTTCGATTATCCGGATTGTTCAAAATAAACAAAAATTTTACGAATTTGCTGATTTGCACTTGACGAATTACGACACTGTTTATGTACGTGATGGAATGCATAACTTTTTTTGTTTCAACAACGTCTCACCCAGCACAGTGGTCGTAAACTCTTAAATATATTTTACGTAGTAATAAAAATATAACTTGACATACGTATTTATAAATAATTTATATTCAAATTACATCATTTCTATGACCAAGGGCGGCGTAAGGCATGGACGACGTGGGCCACCGCCTATGCCTCGCGGTCCGAAGGGCCTCGCGCCTCGAAGGTTTATGCATTACTTAAAAGCCGCGAACGCGACGAAAAAATTTTACTCGTCATAAAACGATAAATAGTTTGTCAAATTTTTATTCATAAAAATGCAGTTTCAACTGCTTTTTATTTTATAAAATCCGTCTTCTTGCGCCACCAGAGGGCCTTTTAAACAATAGGTAGTCTGTTAGCGTTGGTCAGTAGTAGTCCAAATTCAATACGAACGTTTGTTTCTTGAAAATTTGATCACGATTTAAATACAGTATTTACTTTTAATATTGCCGATATGTCATCGAAAAGAAAACGTGTTGTATTATCATTAAAAGAGAAATTAAAGTATTTGTTTCGATTATCCGGACTACCTTCATTCCCAATTAGTCCGGATAATCGAGGTTCTACTGTATTTCAATTTTAAAATATTTTTCTGAAATTTTAGAAAATTTTTGGAAAATAGTAATTATATATTAAATACAAAAAACTGTGTTCAAATTAATTATTGACAAGACTATGTCTTGTTTATAAAATCTTACTGCCGTTTTATGTTACCAACATAGAAGTATGAAGGAGTACATGTCGAGAGTTGATATTTGGCACAGAGTATTAGGTGCCCAAATCATTTGGCATAAAAAAAATCCAGACTCGTCAATAGTCAGAGAACCGAGAATAGAGTCAAAATAAAATAAAAAACGGTGATCCTCTTCTACAAACAGGCAAAACAGGCACCTCACCCTACCGAAGTCAAGTAGGGGAGAGTACCACCCACAGTCATTCTAAGAAGTGAACTCTGACCTTAGGACTGAACACGTAGTTTCTTCTATGTTAAATAAAATTTGTAATCTAATTTTGTAAATTTGGGAGTGCTTCAAATATGACATTTTAAATGGTTTTATGCCGTTACAAGTGGGTTTTTTAACATTATCTAGTATAGTAAAATCGTGGGACTGATAAAAATTTGACGTTATATTAGGGATGTCATTATATCTGATAATGTTATAATCAGGTTAAACTGTATATTGTTTGCACAAAATAAAAAAACAATTTAGGATGATACAATAGCCACGATTATTTTTTTAAAGAAAACGGGAAATTTTCGTTAGGCATCGACAAAAATTTAACCCAGGCCGACATGCAACGGAGAGAAATTTTGAAATTGGATAGGTTAATTTCATTGATAATGCATTGTGGATGACCTCATAGTCGTGGCTGACAAAGTTTGAGTGATTGTGCCCAAAAGCAGCAATACCAAAGAAGATTGGAGAATGAGATGTTCCTTGAGAGTCAAAGTGATTTCACTTAGTAGTGAGTCTCCGAGACATAGTCTTGTCCCAAATACGACTTTGCTGTTTTACTTATTTTAGAATAAAAACACAGAACAGTTGAATATTTGCAAATTCAAACATCAAGATATAATTGCTAAAATGTTTATAATAATAAAACTGAAATAAAATTATATTATAGTACAGGTAGACTTCGGTTTACGCCGCAGTTCCGTTCCAACAAAAGCTGGCGCAAATCAAATCGGCGTAAAACGAACCCATATTTATGGTGAGGTATAGGGTTAGGTTCTACATAAGTGAAAAATCAGCAAATAATTTTGATTATTAATACAATATAATACAAAATACAGATAAATTTAATTTGTAAAATGTATTTTATCATAAAATAAAGTGAAATGTTTTTATTAAAAAATTTTAGTTTCGGATCTCTTACATTTTTCGAAAAAAGTATCCATCTTTAATTGTTTACGCTTTTGTTTTCTTTCATTGAGAATTTTGGAATATGGTCGAATATGATGCTCCTTTTTACATTTGCACTTCGCTTCCAATCATTGTCTAACTCACAAAGTTCATCCGTCAAACTTAGTTGAAAGAATATGTTAACCCGATGTAGAGCTACAGATGAGCGAAGACACTGATTGGTCGACCACCGGTTGGTATAAAGTCAGTTTGAGTGGGAAAATTTGAGGTGGCTAAGGAGAGAGAAATATCGTCTGGCCAATGAGAAGTAGATTTGTCTCACTAACGATAATTTGTGATTGCCGGAAGTGCTATTGCGTCGTAAGGTGTTTTCCTGAACGAACTGATACGGGATACATTCATTTGCGCTATGGATTCGGACGCCATTTATTGGACTATTAAGTTTAATATCTTGACTCATGGGTACCTAAACGTTTAGTATTTTAATACTAATTTAATGCAAATGTATAATACCCAATAATATTAAACAGAAAAAATAAATATATTTAATAAAAATCATTGTTTTAACGAATGTACTGTACAATGTTGCAGCTAGGTAAATACGTCAACACTGAAATAAAAATGAGTCTAGCATGCGGAAAATCGGGGAATTATACTGCAAAACGGCGAATTGCGAAGCGGCGTTATTGTGAATCGGCGTAAATTGAACCAGCATAAACTGAGGGCTACCTGTAATAACAAATTAAATGACCAAATTCTGTTGAAGTTTATAGCTTGATTTATAAGCAAGAAATGAATTAATATAAGAAATGTTTCCATTATAGTATTTTGAATGGTGATTTTTAGTTAGAGTAATAATTATAATTAAGATTTTTTAAATAGTGAATTTAATGCATCTAAAAAATGATTATTCAGAAGAGAATTTGTTGGTTTGAAATTTTCAATTTAGAAAAAATTATAAGAAATATAATTAAAAATAATTAATTATTTTACAAAGAATTTCTTTGCATGAAACCTTAGTAATATAGGATTAATTGCTTTTAAAAGTCAAATTATATTTATTTTAAATTAGATAATATATATTTTTAGTAATACTACATTGTACTTTTGTAAAAAAACTGTAGTTAAAAAGTTTTTATATTATAATTGTAATAGAATTAATACAATATTTCTTAAAATAAATTCAATAATTATGATGATGTACAATTTTGAATAAATAAAACCCATTGCTGCAGTATGGTTAACATATACTTATTAATTTTTTTTATTAGGTAAATTGTTATAAAAATATACTGTTGAAACATTGATACTTTATTTACATAAGTGATAAACTATCATTATTTTTGAAAACTGATATTTTGGTATCAATGTTTGAAAACATTGCAGCAATATTTCATTTTTTTAAAATTTTATATCAGTTTTGAGTTGATTTGATTTATATAATAATAATTAATATTTGGAACAGCTATGTCTATGCTGTACGATGTTGGGATTGATTGTCAATGAATGTGATGCTGGTCTGTTTTAAATATTATGTCAATGAATGTTAATAATATTATATTTAAAACAGATCAGCATAACATTCATTGACAATCAATCCCAACATCATATAGCATCATTAAACAAAATCACATACAGCATAGACATAGCTGTTCCAAATATTCACATCATACAAAAAGTGCATATACTGAAAAAATTAGTAAATACTAAAAAGTTTCTCATGAAATGAAGCATCGTGGAGAATAGATAAGGTATTTATGTACTGGTAGTCCTTTCTTACATACGGATCATACTACATATATTACACAGGAGTCTGGAAACATTAGGGCTTCACAGAATCTGTCACACTGCAGAAGACTGCCATACTAAACATAGTCAGGAAATTCTTCAGCTCAGATACATACATGAATAGTATGCAAACATATTAAGTGCTTGTTCTGCAGTTAAGTGTTGACTTTAGTCCAGTGTAGCATTAGACACCAGTGAGATATATTCCATCAGTCCCATTACAATGGTAACTCATAATAAGGGTGGTAAGAGTTATTATTAATAACTC